AGGGATTTGGGATTAGGATTTAGGGTTTAGGGTTTAGGGTTTAGGGATTAGGGGCTTAGGGTTTAGGGATTAGGGATTAGGGTTTAGGGTTTAGGGTTTCGGGCTTAGGGAGTATGAGCTATAGTCTAAACTCCTAAAAGGGGGTTATATTGGGGTTATGTAGGGCTTATATTGGGATAATAGAAAACCAAATTGAAACTACTATTCAGGGTTTAGGGTTCAGGGTTTAGGGTTTAAACTCCTTAAAGGGGGGTTCTACGGGGGATTACTTAGGGGAATTATTGTAGGGGGTACTAAGGGGGGTACTAGGAGTTTGGACGAAAGCTCATATGAATTTTACAGTGACTTAGGGTTTATATAGGGGTTATATACGGGTTATACACGGGGTTTGGTCCGGGCCATATTGGGATAATGAAAAGAAAATGGAAGCTACTATATAGTATATTAATTAGGTTTCTGGGCTTATGGAATTTCTGAGGCTCAGGGCTTCTGAAGGCTTTCAGCGGCCGATATACTGGTCATGCTTCCGAGTTTCGTAGAGTTGCTGAGTATTCAGCCGGTTGCCACGGCAAGCCAATAATTCTGCCGCACAGCTTATGGCGTCAGTTCTTTCAGGGTTCCAGCGGCAGTAGTGCTTGGAGGCCCATGGGACTTAGTGACTACTTATAGCTGGGGTTATAACCCTACAAGTAGGGTTGTAAGCCCATTTATCAGTAGTTACTAGGTCTCATGGGCCTCCAAGTAGTCGAGACTTACCACGGGTCGTGAGAAGAATCTTGTGTGATTAAGGGTACGGCCACGTCGCTTGCGTGGTTGGGTTCTAAAACCCTACTTCCCTGTCCCCAAACTTCTCTGCTACCTTCGTAAACTTCGGAATTGCTCTGAGGATCCATTCGAATAACTTTCTGGAGTCCCTGCCGAAGGGTTTGACGGTTGGGCTGCACGCTGGCAAAACACTCGTTGACTCGCACACGGTAATTAATAGAGCTTCCTTATTATAGCAATGTAAAACGTTCCTTAACAGCAACCTCGTAAATCCTGCCATGCTTGAAGGTCCAGGGTAATTGTAACCTACTGGCTAACTGTAATTTAATTAAGCCTGTTCCTCGATTTTCCTACTTGGAGGGTCACGGGGATTTAGTAAGTAGCTTAGGTTATTGACCTAAGTCCCCATGACCCTAAACCCTAAACCTTCAACCCTAACCCATGACCCTAAACCTTCAACCCTAACCCATGACCCTAAACCCTCAATCCTAACCCATGACTCTAAACCCTCAACCCTAACCCATGACCTTAAACCCTAGACCCTAAATATTCCTAGAGGCACTCCACCATCATCCCTGGCAGCTGAGCTCACACAGTTGCATGCAAAACACCCGTGAAGACCCTCGCTCAAGCCGACATGGACCCTGGGTTTAGGGTCTACCTAGACCCCCAAGTACCCTAAAATAGGGTCTATGTAGCTTCTATTTGGGGATATTTAGGGTCTATAGAGGGTACTTGGGGGGCCTAGGTAGGGTTCAGGGTTTAGCGCTTATGGTTTAGGCCTCAGGGTTTAGGGTTTGCCCCCGAAACCTTAAACCTTTAACCCTAAGCCCTGAGCCGTAAGGAGCACCGGTTGCAGGCTCAACTACAAGAGACCAGTTGAGGGGATAATGAGTTCCAAGTCTTGAGTAGTTTGGGGTGGCTATAAATTACAAGTAGCTTCGATTTCTGGCGTGCCTCCAAGCACCCCTGAACTCAAGACTCTAAACTCCCTAAATGCCCTAAGCTCCCTAAACCCTAAGCGCTGTACCCCTTACCCCTAAACACCCCAACCCTAAACCCTAAACGCTCTAAACCAAAACCTTAAAACCTAAGCGCCTTATCCCTAAACCCTAAAACCTAAACCCTCTCGAATCTAGCCCTGTTGCAGCAAAGGAAGCCCAATGGTGCAGCGCACCTCGCCAGGGTTCCAAAGCGATCAGGGTGTAGGGCTTAGGGTTAATTGGGATTTAGAGTTTAGGGCTTCGGGTTTGGGATGTAGAGCTCAGGATTTAGAGTTTAGGGTTTTGGATTTCGGGTTGAGGGTTTGGTGTTGAGAGGTTTGCAAAATTTAGGGCGCCGTTTTGGGGCAGTCCATCCGATGGTGGTATAGTATTTTGGAGGTGTGTGCGGTGGATCAATATTTGAGAGTTACCATGTAGAAGCCTGGAAAATACTTGTCCGTGTGCCCCATACATAGCCTACGATGAGTCTAAAATTGCGGTACGGTACGGCCTGAGACTTAAAGGGATTCGTCTGACGATTCAGAGTTCAAATTTGATCCCCCTTTCAAGAGTTCTTGCTTGATGCTTGGGGGCTTCTTCAAAGATACCGCAAGACTTCATTTCAGTGAAATTGTTGGAGTATCGGTTTGGGATTGTTTCGCTCAAGTGTAGATTGCCGTGTCGCAGTTTAAGAGTTTAGAGAGTTGGTTCCTTCAGCAATAACCCTAAGGGTCCAAGTACCTAATAATCATATACTTACCCAAAACCAATACTATAATTTCTGTTACCCAAATCCCAAGTACCCAATTATCGGGTACTTGGACCCTCTGGGTAAAGGAAGGCGCAGGCCAAGTTCCGTGTCTTACTTGTGGTTCTCAAGGAAGGGTTACAGGAACCATATTAAAGTTGGCGCCTGATTGGTGTGCCCTGCCCCCAACCAAAAAAGGGGAGGCTGTATAATACTTGCTAAAATAAATAGCATTCAATAGCGGAAGGTAGATCCTTGGGCTTGTATTGAGTTCATGAGGATTTGTTCAGTTTAGCTTTCAAGAGAATAATAACGGTAGGGTCCCGGGCCTTCATAACAAAAAGCCTGGCCTTGAAAACCCATTAAAAGCAATTACAGCTTAAAAAAGTCAAAGAACATCCACTTAAATCAGCTAACATCAATCCGACATCGAACTAAACAGAATTAAAAACAATCTCACCCGCATCCCAGCCAACAAACTTTTGCATAATTCAGCCCCCCTAAATCAATTATATGATTGCGGGTCTGCTGGGCTACCCCCCGCGAAATTTGATTGCCTAGCCTGTTCGAATAAGTGGTTGAAATACGGACTAAACCCTAAACCCTACAAACCCTAAACCCTAAACCTTAAACCCTATAAACCCTAAACCCTATAAACCCTAAACCCTAAACATTGTTTTTTGGTAGCACCGAACTTCAGATTCCACAGGTAATGGAGCCTGTCCT